TGTCGTAGCTCCTCCCTGGACACACAGCTGTTGTTCCTGGGGCTGCACAGGCCGGCAAAGTCCTCCTCCCGCTGTGTGTAAAAATAGCAGTTCTAAATCATCATCATCATCATCATCATCATCATCATCATCAAAGGAAAGATTGGATAGAGAAACAAGTGAACTGGGACATGCTGGTTGAGTCTCCCTTATCTGGAATTCCCAAATGCTCCAAAATCCAACACTTTTTAATGTAGTGCCACCTTTGCTTTCTGTTGGTTAAGTGTACTCAGACTTATGCACAATAATACTTTTAAAAATATTGTATAAAATTACCTTCCGGCTATGTGTATAAGGTGCATATGAAACATAAATGAATTTTGTATTTAGATTTGGGTCCCATCCTATTTCCATTATGTCCATATATGCAAATACAGATATTCTAAAATCCTGAATCCAAAACGCTTCTGTCCCAAGCATTGCGGTTAAGGGAGACTCAACCTGTATCTGAAATCCTGTGACATGTGAACATGCCTAAGTCTTACGAACTTTGGGAGAAGGGCTTTTTCTCCATCTCACTACCCTCCCAGACTCATCTCATGAAGTTGAGAATGTTTAATTGAATTGATTGTTTAATGCTTTATTTAAAAAATGATATGCCACTTTGGGTCTCCTTTTGGAAGAAAGGTGAGAAGAAAGTGGCAACCTAAGGCAAACCTATCATAGCATTTTCTTGACAAGTTTCGTCAGAGGGGGATTGCCGTTGCCATCCTCTGAGGCTGAGAGAGTGTGACTTGCTCAAGATCACTCAGTTTTTATGCTTGAGCAGAGAATTAAACCCTAATCTCCAGAGTTGTAGTCCGGTGCTCAAACCACTACACCACGCTGGCTCTTTTATTTTGAACTTTAAAGGAACTATCCAAGGTGAAAAATGCTATCCCCAAAAGAGATTCAAAACCATGGGTGGCATCTTTACAGGCTGAAATGAAACCCAGTGGATAGACCATACATCACTGATGCAGAAACCCCTGTGCACTTCTGAAGGAGGTACATTTAGGCATAACATGCTAGTTTGGCAACAGAGCAAAGCTTACCTGCTATGCTTATGCCATTCCTTTCCCAGTGGACTTGCAAGAAATAGCAAGTGGAAG